GCGAGTTATATAAGCATAAGGTCCTGTCAGGGTAGGCATCAAGAACGAACAGACCATTCTCAAAATATTAAATACCTGCTATGTCCCAGTCTCTGGGTTTAGAAAAATAATGAGTGCTGTCTGACTGCTAGGAATTCCAAGTTTAGTGGAGAAAGACACACACATACACACACACACACACACACACACACACACACGCACGCACACCATTTCTTATGCATCTCAGATTCTTGCCTATTCTTTTCAAGCTCCGTCTCTAATATTCAAATGTTAAGAACTTGTTCCAGTTCACTTGGCAGAGCCAGGATTAAATCTCAATTCTGCTTGCCTTTTAAGATCATACTCTTTCCTCAATACCATTCAGTGCCTCTCAAACATTTCCCATGCGAAGTGAAACGCTTATACATAAGGGTAGGTGTGAACCAAGACCATCAGAAACATGTGAGTCAGAGCTAACTCTGACTGGGGGAGTCCCAGAGGACATCACGGGGGAGATGTTTTCTTCAGGATTAGTCAGATGGGCATGAGGGGAAAGGAATTCCAGGAAGAAAGCAGCATGTCCCAAGAGGGAGGGCTTTGCAAATGCAGGAACCAGAGACAGGGCTTTGCAAATGCAGGAACCAGCCTTTGGTGGTGGCAGGTGGCCTAGAGCAGTGGGAAGTCTGGAGTGTGTGAAGGGAAATGTGGTCGGGGGTAAGTCAGCGAAGGTAGGTGAGGCAAAGGCCATGAAGGGCCTCCACAGTTAGTTAAGGCGTTCAGATCTGTTCCCACAGGCAATGGGAAGTCATCAAAGGTTCTGAGAGGGAGAAACTTCTGATGTTATATTTAAAGGGTCAATTTTTGTCCATAAAGGGATATATATTTATACTTTGGAACATTGTACAACTCAGTGCCTCCTTTGAAAAGAAAAAAAAAATCATTTCAAACATATGGACATGGAGTCTGCCCCTTTAATTTTATTCTGTACCATATGGCACTTTGAATTTTAGAATATGAGTAGAAGATTGACTTCACAGATCAGAACCTAGTAAGAGAAATCTCATCTGTTATTTTAATTTCCTCCCCGCTATAGCCAATGCCCAATTTATCAATCCAATAAAAGGATTGAGTGAGATCAAATAACAACCTGTAAAGTACTTAGACATGCCTGGTATATACCAGGCACAATATAAGTATTTGAGACACACACACACACACACACACACACACACACACACACACACACACAAAGTGTAAAAGGCATTTGCTCTTAATTTCTTAGCTAAACTACATGGTAATATGGTAATAAAGTAATTTCAGCCCTACCATAGGGAGAACTGAAGGATATACACACGTGCACATGCACACACCAATACAGAAAAATGAATAGGGGCATCAAAAAATAGCTGTTATGCCAAGCCAAGGTACAGCATCACTTTAAAAACAGAGTTCTTAGGTTTTTAGAAACCAGAATTTACTTCCATATCAGATTTTCTAAATAAACTTGTCATAAACTTTTACAAGAACTTTCCTCAAAGAGCCTCTGTATGGATTGATATATTACTCATACATCAAGGCTATGTTTCTACTAAGCCAAATAAACATCTGGACAAAAGCTTTAATCATTTCATTGTTTCCAAGCGCCTGGATGTTTGAGGGCGATAAGGCATCTAGACCCTGACTGGGATTTTGGTCTTTATCAGATACAACTGCAAAGAGAAATCCAGCTGAAGGTTTAAAAACCATATTAATTGTAGTGCTTCAAAGCTCAGGGAAGTTAAATGACATGCCTAACGTCATAGAGCTGGCAAGAGGTTGGGCAGGGTTTAAGCCCTGGTCTGTCCAATAAGATATCTCAGCCTATTTCCCTTTCACTACTTCAGTTGCCTCAACAGTGCCTTATTCAGCAGATTCTGAAGCACAGAATAACCAGCCTTTCAATATTTATAATCTTGCCAGTTTATAGAAAGAAAATGATATGAGTAGAAAAGACATTAACTGTCTTGCCCTGAACTCTGCATGTAAACACGAACTGGTAACTTAGCCTCACAGCAGAAATTCACATGCATTTCCACAGAGTGGAGACATGCTTAACAAGTGTTTTAGAATGCTACAACTAGAAGGAGCATTAGGTACCATCTGGGCTACCTCTCCTCATGCTGAGGGTACATTTCTACATTAAAAGGAACAGGAAGAGAAACCAGACCAAAGTTCTCCAGTTTCAGTAATCAGGTGCTTTGCTTACATTTCTGAACTTTTTATCTACACTTGCTCTAAGTGCTATCACACATGCTAAAACGTAAGCTTGGCAAAGCTGGAACTGAAATGTAAACATTGGTGATTTTACGCAAAGGTAAAGGCTCTGGTTTGGATGGTTAAAGAAACCAGGAGTTTCTCACTCCGCTAGCGCTAAGCTTCAGGTTAGAGTGTTTCAATGTCTCCACCTTGTGGACATAATCAACACTACAGCAAAATAAATTCACTGGCCATCTTTTTATAATTAAGACTGGTTTGACAATAAACTCAACTCTTTATTACAGGATACAAAAACTGCAAAACCAGCCAGATTTTTTTTGGTAGTATATGAAAATGGGAATTGATAATAATAAATCTGAGTCCATGCTAGATACCAAAAGTCTTCTAAACAATAATACAAAGATTACATTATGCGCAATTCAGTTGTAGTTAATAGGTGTATGCTATTGTTTTTCATGTTTGTAGAAAACTAGAAAAAAAAATGATGCTCTAAGTTGACCAGGTCATTTAATTTCTCAGTCCGTTAATTGCGCCAGCTATTCCAGGTAGCAAAAATTTGTTGTACTGTAAGGTGTTGGGGCTCAGAAAACACTACAAAATAAAGGCTTCAGAAGCGAAAGTTTTTCTCTGACCTTTTCCTGCCCTCTGGTCTCTCAATCCTATTTCCCCTGAGGCCAGCCATAGAAACTAGAATCCCTCTGCCCCCAGGTGGGCCATAGAAATCAGAACACTTTTGCCCTAAAGCCAGCCATAAAACCTCCAAGCCATTACTCTAATTTCCCCTCTTTCTTTCTGTGTGAATCCTGGGCATAAGGAAATTATCTGAGCCACCTTGTTTGATTGTAGAAACCTTCATTACAGAGAGGGCTCTGCCCCATACCCAGAAGGCAGGAATGCTGCTCAGAAGGGCCAAGAAGAATCTAGACAGACAGACCTTCCCGGGATTCCCCACTTTATCTACTAGCATTAGATCATACCCTTTTTGCCCAATCATATTTCTACACAGCTGTCCATACTTTGTAGAACCTAAGCATAAAATTGGACAATTTTCCCTATATCTTTGGGTATTTACTCTGAAGGCTCCTGTGTATATAAAGTAAATTTGTAAGTCCTTTCTCTAACGAATCTGCCTCTTGTGAGTTGATTTTCCAGTGAACCTTCAGAGGGTGAAGGTGAAATTTTCCTTTCCTCTGCAAAAGGTTTGGTGGATCCTATTTTCAAAGATTTCCCTACACAAGATAGTTCTAAAAGTGACAGGTTGAAAACCAAAGCACCTCTATGCCTCAGCTTTTAATGAAATAAAAGAACATTTCTAGTCACAGAGGTAGAACGGAGGAAAATTAATTTTGAAATAAACTCTAGTAGTTGTAATATTTCAATACAGCAATAAAATGTTGGCAAGATGATACACTATTATGCTCTGTCTCTAATAGCTGCAAGCCCTTGGGCAAGTTATTTAACCTTCCTGGACTTCACTTTCCTCATCTCTAAAATGGGGATTGTGATATCATCTACCTCAAAGGATTGCTGTGGAGATAGAACAAGAGAGTATAAAAGTAAAGCATCTAGCACTGTATTTGGCATATAGGAGAGTTAGCTATTATTTAAATTATAAAAATACTGACTCACCCATCGGGTTCTTGATCATTACTTTCATGGAAATGAGTGGCACAATTAGTATTTCTGCTTTTTCTTATCTGTAACTTTAACAGCTAGAACATTCGAGGTGGAAAAGATCTTGGAGAACTTCTGGGCAAGTCACGTTAACAGATGAAGGAAGAAGTCTCAGGCGACTGAAATAACTCACTGCACCTTAAGTCTGCAGGGTGATCTGAGAGGGGAGCATGAACAAGTTGCCGGCCAGGCCTCGTGCTATACAGTCATGGCAGGCTCCACCTGAAAGTTTCCTTAGACATCATCTCATCACCCGCTTTACTTCATATGTGAGCACACAGAGAAACAGGGAGGCTGGGTTTGTTCATTCACTGATTCCCATGTTCATTGACTTAGCAATATTTATGAGCTCCTATTATACACAACACACTGGGGATTCTGCGGTGAACGAACAAGACAAGTCCTTGCTTTGTGGTGCTTATTGCTGCAAGTAGGAGAGGGCTGGGAGGCAATAAAGGATATACACATAATCAGGCTAATTTCAAATAGTGATAAGCTTCCAAAGGAGCCTGCCACAGAGTGGTGGAGATGCCTAGGGCATACACACACCTACTTCAAATTGCACGGTCAAGGAGGGCCCCTCCAAGGAGGTGTCAGCTGAGCAGCAAGAAGGATCTACCACACAAAGATCTGGGAAGCAGAATCCAGGCTGAGAAACAGCATGCAAGGCTGTGAGGTGGAAAAGAGTTTGACAAGATTGAGGACTGAGAGGGACAGCTGCAGCAGGGAAACAGGTAGGAGAGAGGAAGATGAGATCTAAAAGGTAGGTACAGGCCAAATCTCATAGGCCTAGGGAGGTCGTGTAACCTGCAAGGATTCCATCCTTAGTGCAAGGTTTGGTTTAAGGGACTAACGCGACATGGTTTGTTTTCGGGTGTCACTCTGCTGTTTGTGAGTTACTGGCCAAGCCTGGACTACCCAGGCCTTCAGACTCACAGCCCAGCAGCGTCTCCCTCCATGCCACACAGCCTTTGATATGGATAGCAGAAAGTTTGACCTCCTCCGGAAGACTCAAACAGAGCCCTACAAAAGGGAAGCCAGGTGCCAAGCTTGCTTTCTCTCTGGGAAAAAGGGCGGCCCTGGGTACTCACCCGCTTGTAATGTCATCGGTCCGGATGTTCTTGCTCAGAACGTCCCCTTCGCTCATGTAGCCAGGGGCGTCCATGCTGATGCCTTCCAGGTCCATCTCATCTCCCGCCTTGTCTGAGACGTCCACGTGGCAGATGCTGCTGCCCCGGGAGGCCAGCTGCCTTCTCAGAGGGGCGGAGTACACGTAGCGACCTGACTCAGTGTTGATGAACCGGCTGGCGTTGGCTCGAGGGGGGTACCCGTTGCCCATTGAGGGGGCATCTCCTGCTTGGAGCCGAGGGCTGGACTGGCCCAGTCTCCAGGACAGAGGTGTGGGCCTCCCTGTCAAGCTGAGTATGCTGCGGCCACTCATCTCCGTGGTGACATTGGTGTCAAACGTGGTTTCCAATGTGCTAGAAACAAAACCAACCTGATTAGACTCAAAGGTACCTAGTATCCTTCACAGTTTATATGTTCTTTAATTATTTAGAATTATGAAATAATCCTCATATATAAAATAGGATAAAACAGCTGGCCCCATGTACCACCTGGTGTGCTTCCCCTGCTCAAAATGAAAAAGGAAAGCCGCACATCTACATAACATTCTGAAAAGCCTACTGGAGACTTTCCCTGCTAAAACATGGTACAAGAAACAAATTCCTTTAATTAAATGACCTTAACTGCTAGAATTTTCTTTCCAGGCCGGATGCAGTGGCTCACACCTGTCATCCCAGCACTTTGGGAGGCCGAGGTGGGTGGATCATGAAGTCAAGAGATCAAGACCATCCTGGCCAACATGGTGAAACTCCATCTCTACTAAAAATGCAAAAATTAGCTGGGCATGGTGGCACACGCCTGTAGTCCCAGCTACTGGGGAGGTTGAGGCAGGAGAATCACTTGAACCCAGGAGGCGGAGGTTGCAGTGAGCCGAGATTGCGTCACAGCACTCCAGCCTGGCGACAGAGAGTGAGACTCCATCCCCCTCCCCCACCCAAAAAAAGAATTTTCTTTCCATTCTGGGAAAGAAAATACTAGAAAATGCTGAGCTGATTAGGACGGGGCATGAAAGTTCCTGCTTGCCCATTCATTCTAGGATGTCGTATCACAGCCCTCTTTTCCTAAGGGTGGGATTCTCCACCCACCAGGAGTTCCTGATACCACATTTTACATCCTCAGCTCCCTCCCAACTGAGCAGTGGACACAGTTCTAATTTTGTAACCCTCTGAGGTTCACTTCCCCCAGACTTTTGCTTTAAATCACAGATTTCATCCAAAAAGTCTGGAAAGATTGGTAAATGCCTGGGCTTGAGTTCCCTCTTCAATCAAGTTACACGGACCAGAATCTGCCCAAGGATGAGCTCAATCTCTTGGCAGAGTCCGTCTTCCACTGTCTTCACAGCACCGCAGTTTCTTGCAGCCCAGTCAAAACTATCATCTATACTTTCACAGGAAAACTGCAATTTCCTCACTGAGCAAAGAGAGTGAGATTCTACCCTGCAGAAGAAACCACTGAAGTCTTCCCTCCTGTCATAATTACCATCCCACCGTGAAACTGCTATGCCAACATTAAGTCAGTGTCAGTGACGACGGTGGAAAGACGGATGTTTCACACTAATGGTAGAGTCACGAGATCCAATATCTGACTCCCTTCATTCAGATACCTAAAGGTTTAAGACGGTACCACCCCCAAACCCCCGAGTTTACTTTCCTCTGGAAGAGCCAATTTGCTCCCTTAAGCTGTTTTTGTTTTCCTCTGATCTTGGAAGTGGCCTTATTTTTCTCGGATTGGACCCCTTGTTTTGGGCCTCAGTCCTATTGGAGATGGAACCCACAGTGGTTAACCCCAATCTGCCAAAACTGCTGACAGTGGAAGCCCCGTGGTTTCCTTGCCATAGCCACTTATCAAAGAAACTGAAATTGGAGAAGCAAAGGAGACTCTGTGGAAGCTCAGTGGGGACAACGAGAACTTTCCTTGACTTCCACATACTATAAAACCTCCTCCTGCCCAAATCACAAAGGACATCCCAGGGTTGCATCCTCTTCAACTTCTTGTTCAACAATGAAAGTACCTGATAAATGTTTCCAATATAATCCTAGATTTCATCCAACTAAATCAGAGTTTAAACACGATCATAAGTTTTTATAAATATTTCCTTACATGTTTTATGCACGTGCATGACTAACAATATTACAGAGTGCTGCATATCAGAAGAGTGGGTAGGAATTCAAGTTATTCAGTTTATCACACAGGTCAAATACAGTTCACCTGCTCATTTCAACAGCACCAGATAGTTTTAGAAAATGCAAGTAAAGTGAAATTTAAATAGAGCTGGTCTACAGTATCATTTGTTGAATGGATTTAGCAACCTTCTGCTTTTGGGAAAAATCTGTCTATACTAATTTTTGTTTCCTATAATTCTCTTCTGCATGTTGTATGGCATTCTTTGTGAATTCCGGCACATTTGGAAAGCGAGGCTATTGATCCATTATAACCAAATCGCTTTGCTAATGGTATGAACAAACACAGTAGAAAATTAACATACCAGCTAGTTCAGTAAAGTAATTCACACTGCAGATACCTGTGTGTAACCTGAGTTCCCCTTAAACTGGACATGGTTTCCTCCAAATTCTGCCGCAGATCAGCGATGTTCTTCACTGTCCGCAGCCGCCGAGCCTCAGGATCTTCCCCTGGAAAGACGAGGGTTAAGATTAGTTTAATTCTCTGACCAACCGTGAGCTTCATAAGGGCAGCATCCATGTCTGTGACCATAACTATACTCAGTATGTGCCTCGCTGTGGGCGCTTAATAAGGATTTGAGAATGAATGAATGATTGAATGGAAGTGTGAATGGAAACCCAAAGGAAGTGTGAAGTCCAAGGAGATTCTTCCTTCAGGTGCCTCCTTAAATAGGTGAAGTCTAGTGTGTGGGAGAAGCCAAGTGCCTAGTCTGAGATGTAAACACATTTCCACAGTGTCTCCAGCAGAGACATGCTCAGGTTAGGTCCGACCAGGTAGTCATTTTCTGCCCATGCAAAAATGAGTAGAGCATTTTGTTTGTTCACCTATTGGTGATATATGCAGCTATCTTAGGCCCTACTTTGCAAGGATAGCTTGCAGTAGCTAGAAGATCTGCACCTGTTAATCACAAATATTTATACAGAGAAAGATTGCTTTCTTCATTGTTAGATGTATTATGTCACCTCAAATTCAAGCTCCTCTACTTACTGGCCGTGTGACTGTGGGGAAGGTGCTGGTCCTCTCTGTCCTTCAGATTTCACTTTTCTAAAAGGAACACAGTGGTAGTACTGACCTCAAAGGACATTTGTGGGGACAAACTGGGATCAAGCCGGGATTTCCCTTAGCACAGTGCTCACCATAAGCACTCAACACAAGCCAGCTGGTGCTCTAGAGCAGGGAGCCTTCAAGAAACAGCTGGGGTCCGGGCGCAGTGGCTCACGCCTATAATCCGAGCATTTGGGAAGCCAAAGCAGGTGGATCGCTTGGGCCCAGGAGTTCAAGACCAGCCTGCGCAACATGGCAAAACCCCGTCTGATGACATACACCTGTAGTGCCAGCTACTCTGGAGTCTAAGGTTGGACGATGTCTTTAGTTTAGGAGGCAGAGGTTGCAGTCAGCCAAGATTGTGCCATTGCAATCCAGCCAGGGTAACAGAGAGTGAAGGGAGGAAGGGAGGAAGGGAGGAAGGGAGAAAGGGAGAAAGGGAGAAAGGGAGAAAGGAAGGGGAGGGAAGAAAGGAAAGAAGGAAAGGAGGAAAGAAAGAAGAGAAAGAAAGACAAGAAGGCAAGAAGGCAAGAAAGCAAGCAAGCAAGCAAGAAAAGACAGACAGAAAGCCAGTCAGTCAGACAGAAAAGAAAGGAAAGAAAGAAAAGAAGAAAGGAAAGAAAGGGAAGGGAAAGGAGAAAGAAAAGGAGAAAGGAAAAGGGAAAGGGAAGGAAAAGAAAAGAAAGAAAAGAAAAGAAAAATGGAAAGAAAAGAAAAGAAACAGACAGCTGGGTTCCTCTTTGTTAGGACCACAGCCTTCCATTCCCTGGGCAAAACTTTCCAGAAGACACTTGGCTGAGCAGCATTTGAGCGAGCTGGCACTAGTGTACCATGAGAAACATGCCACACACAAGCTAGGACACAGCGCAGTCTTGTTTTGGGTTCTCTGGCAATTCCATTTCTTTCTATTTTTTTGAGACAGTGTCTCGCTCTGTTGCCCAGGCTAGAGTGCAGTGGCACGATCTCAGCTTACTGCAACATCCACCTCCTGGGTTCAAGTGATTCTTCTGCCTCAGCCTTCTGAGTAGCTGGGATTACAGGCGCCTGCCACCACACCTGGCTAATTTTTTTTTTTTTTTTTTTTTTTTTTTTTAAGTAGAGACGGGGTTTCACCATGTTGGCCAGGCTGGTCTCGAACTCCTGACCTCAGGTGATCCTCCTGCCTTGGCCTCCCAAAGTCCTGGGATTATAGGTGATCCCACCGCACATGGCCTGATCCCATACATATAGGTGTATGGGATTATAGTGAGCCACCGCACATGGCCTAGTTCCATTCATTTTAGCCTTACAATGGGAGGAGGAGAGGGGCAATAACTATAATAATGATTAATAGAATTATACATTTTCTCCCTCAGAGTAATTTTAGGGACAGCTGAGAAGACTGAAGAAGCACAAACATGGGTCTTTAAAAGCCTAGGACTATTTTCAAGTGTTGAGCAATATTTTCAAAGAAATCTCCATCTAGAACATAGCACAAGTGGAATTTACATTAGACACGAAGCAGCAGCAAGTAGAATTGACATCAGACAACAGGTTGAACTTCCAACAATTGTCATTAACAGGGGACTGGGCAGCTAAGAAATGTAATAGAATTAACTTTTCTTCTGAGATAGATGACAACTTCCTTAGGTTGTTCGTGGCATGGTGGTGCCTGGAGGCTGGGATGGAGTAAATGATATACCCATGATTTCATGGAGGAAATTTACTTGAAAATGCAAGTGCTTTCCAATTTCTCCTTCCACCTTTTAACCCAAGGAAATTTGGAAGGCATTTTTCTCTTATCTGAAAAGTGGCCAAACTTGCATTTCCCTCCCAGTGCTTTAAAATACATATATATGTATGTGTTTTTAAACAAAAGCAAAGATGAATGTCTATTATACCTTCCCCTAATGACTTTGGAGGAATGTAACTGCATCTACCTTCTGGGCTATCAGTGAAATCTTTTACTGCCAATTTGGCCACATTTTATGTATATAAGCCTGCTAAAATATATTCTTAGGTTAGCTCTAGGCCCTTTAGAAAACATCGATTATGAGGCTACATCTAGGCATAGGTTTACAAATTACCTCAACTAATTACCTTAACCACACACACAAAATATAGTAACCATATTTATTTATCCATCACTCTATTAATGGTTTTAACCCTCCATTAGAAATTCAACTATTTTGTTTTATTTTTTAGAGACAGAGTCTTGCTCTGTTCCTCAGGCTGGAGTGCAGTGCCATGATCATAGCTCAATGCAGCCTCAAACTCCTGGGCTCAAGCAATCCTCCCACCTCACCCTCCCATGTAGCTAGGGCTACAGGGATGCACCGCAATGCCTGGCTAATTTGTTTTCTTTGCAGAGATGGAGTCTTCTATGTTGCCCGGGCTAGTCGCAAACTCCTGGTCTCAAGCAATCCTCTCGCCTTGGCCTCCCAAAGTGCTGGGATTACAGGTATAGCCACTGCACCCAGACAGAAAGTCAAAGATCTTTGAGTTGGGGATGGTGTCTCATCTCTCCTTTTGGTAACCCCCACACAATTTATAGAGGTCTAAGAAATGTTTATTATGCAACACATATTTGGTCAATGTGCAGTTGAAGGAAAAGCATGGACTTCACATTTCCACAGATAAATATTTGAATTGTGGCAGTGCTGTGTATTAACCACTTGACCCTAGATCTCATTTGTAAAATGGACATAAAAACCCTTTGCTAGAAGGGTTAGTGTGAGAGTCAGATGAGATGGCACATAGCACAAAATGAGGGTTCAGGAAATGTGAGTGTCCTGTTTCCCTCTTGTGGGTCCTGCTGGGAAATATTTGCCCTCCTCCAGGGTGCTACATCAGACCCCAAGGGTAATGTAAGAACACAAAACAGTAACCCACCTGACATGCTTAGGTGATCACATTCAGAACTGCCAATTATGCCTCCTCTGACAATGACCTGAATGTAGGATTTACCCACTAACTCACAGCCTGAACACAATAAAAACACAATTGAGTTCCAGTGGAAACAGCTGGGAGCTTTCAGCTCATAGATTCGGAGAGGTCTTAAAAATTTAGTGTCTACCTGTAGCGATCTGGACTTTGCCAACGATGCTCAAGCCACTAGTCATGATTGGGAGAGCATCACATTGCGACCAAATATGACTGAGTTTGGAGGATATCAAGGTGTTATAAAAGGACCATGGAAAAAATCCAGGATTTTTACTTGGAAATAAAGAAACCTTAAGGGATATGTTACAACATGAAAAAGAATGAAAACTGTCTAGGGCTTCAGAAGGCTGAATTATATCCAGTGATTGGAAATGTAAGAATAAAGAACTCCATTAACTGATGAAGCCGTCAACAACAGCAAAAAAATAAAGGGCTGCCTTATGAAGGAACAACATTTTGTCCAAGAAATATTCAAGCAGAGGCTGAAAGATAGTCACCAGCAAGGTTTAGAAGGAATTCATGAGCAGGATAATAAGCAGGTGTGTGTGATTCCTTCAATTCTATCATCCAAGATGCATTTTTCAACTATAATGCTCTGCACATGATCACATACCATAGGAAAACCCACCCATTTGCATAAGTAAGGGGAAGAACCAAGCGATTGATCAAATAGTTATAAATGTCCATTTCTAAATAGTCCTACCATTCACTGTCATTTCAAAGGATTGGCTGTGGGTAAGTTAAATTCAACGTCATGCTATTTATTATTCAGTCTCTCCATAAAAAAATTCAACATAGTCACAAGTATGATTTCTACTGCTTGACTATAAAGACATGTCACCCTGATAAGGAATTTTCATTAGCGACCAACCCCATTTGATTTGACACCAAAGAGTGAAGAGTCAAGCACTACTGGCTGCACAAGTCTCTTCCCCAAAGCCATCTGACAGAATCTCAGGGTTTCTGAGTTCTTAAGGCTCGGTACAGTGGAGACATGGAGATAAAAAGAAAAATTAGGGGAAGATCACATACTGCAATCTGTCACTCTGAAATCTAAGTAATATTTGGAATATTCTCTGGCTCCTGCTTTTGCTTTTCCAATGTGGATTTTGCTGAGACTCAATGTCTGACAGGAATCCACACCACTCCTCGGGCCACATATCTGAACCATGCTGGGATCTGAAGCGTTGGCCTCGTTCTTTTGATGTCTGCACATCAGAACACAATCTGGAATGTACATGGAGACTTGAGCAGTCATCTGAACTCCACACCCTTCTCATTGCTGGTCCTTTTCCTATGCTATCCATGTACTCACATGCAAGAAAGCTACAAACCTCAAAGAGAAGGAAACAAAATCAATCCCAAATGTGGGGCCCGAATCATTCTAAGATGGATTGCTTACAAATGGCTTGAAGAATCTCTGCACCATCTCTGTGCCCAGCCAGTGGAATCAGAAGGAAATAGATCACCCAGATCCTCTGAAATTAATTGTTGGGGCTAATTGCGAGATGGGTAAGGTTCAATCACTGGGCTGCAGAGCAATTCCACAGCTGTAACGTGGCTATTAAAATGCTGTAGTCAGGGATATTCAGTTTAATAAATAGATTTTAAGCATGGATTCAGTTTTTAACTCGACTGTGGAAGTGGTAAGATATGAGAAGAGTGACACAGCCACTAATAAATCAATGGCTTACCACTCACTTCCCTGACTAGAAGTTGCTGGAGCATGGGACACAGAGTTGGGGAATGGGGAAAAGAGACAGAGAAGATGGCAGCTTGGAATCCACTGTAGTAAGAATACTAATTAAGGTGTGACTTTTCTTCTTTAATTAAGAATGTGACAGTATAGTGTCCATAAATAAATGCTTATAGAATTAACTATACGACGACTGTGGATTTTATGCTGTCATACAGTATAATGTTCTTGTAATCATCATTGTCTATGTTACAATTAAATAAAATTTACATTTCTTTTTTTGTTTCTGGTAAAAAGAAGCATGTTACAATTTTTCCCCCCAATTCATGTAGGACTCTAAGAACACATTTTAAATCAGTGCTTCTATACAGGAACGAAATCCACTATTCTAAATCTTGTTGAAAAGCAACTTTATCTGAAGAGTAAACAAGAAGATTCAAAGTTAAGTATCAGTGGAGTCCAGAGCCCCTAAATGAATAAAATTGAATATATCTTAAAAACAGGATTTGCACACCAGTAAGAGATTTGTTTACAATTCCGGGGAGGAGGGAAGAAACTGTAAGAGGGATAGTAAAGGGAAGAAAAAGAAGAAGAAAAATAATAGGAAACAAAAAAGAAAGAAAGTTTGTTTAGCTCAAAGTCAATGCAACCATAATGCAACTTGTAATCAAGCTGGGTTCATGCTGTTCCAGCAGGTATTGCATGGAAGGCCTCATCACCAACAGACACAGATTTCTGGGGCTCCATACTCACCAGTGAGTTCTTCCAGAGCAGGCTGTCCAGTCTTGGTGAAGTGGCTGGGCTCCATGCTCACACCCGTTGAGCCTGACTCGGCGGTAACATTCCCTTCAGTGTCCGTCTGAGACCTTCACACACAAACCAAAGCAGACATACTTGTCATGAGAGGCAACTACCACGTCTGGACCACTGTGGTCTAACCACAGCCCTCACCATTACCTCCTATAGCAAGAAGCTTCAGAACAGAGCCGACGAGCGGACTGACACTAAATAATTCATTAGCCGTATGTGGAGCAATGTCCTAAGAACAGAGAGAGCCACCGAACTGTAAAAGATAAACTTCTCATTGCCCGGATGGAGAGTCTGTAATCCCTCACTGGGGAATGCTTCTCTGAACCTCCCTCAGGATGCTAGGTCTAGCCAGACACACGCTGGAGGGTACTGGGTGGTTTGGATAATTTAACCTATGCCAAAGAACAACTTCTAAGTAACCAGCAACGCCAACAAGTCAAACATAAAGATGACTCTATTAACAGCACCCCCACCCCAAAATCATCCTGACATGGTTTTCTCTATAAAGGTGACCATAAAACCAGTTGGAAGTGGGTGCCAAGCAGGTGTGTTTGCCCTCCAGGTCTCTGATTCAGAGCTCAGTTCTTCTGACATGAAAGGTCTCCTTGATCATTATTTCAACACTCGACTGAAATCTGTACTTCCCCAAACCCTCTCCATGCCCTTATTTGTCAAGCAAATTGAAGCAACGGCTTCATGCAATGTTTTCTTGTCACAGCTACCTCTGCTCATTCAGGCATGGCATGTAAATGCATAATTACATTCAGATGCATGACCCTGCATGTAACATTATTAACGCACTGGCATCCTGAACTAATTCAACCGATTTTACTATCTGTGAGGAAAACGTTTGCCAAGAGTGAGAATGGACGATGGGGGATGTACTGATAAACCTCAAGTCATCCAACCGTTCTTCCCTCCTTTCTTCTTCCTACTGAGGCCATTGTTCTCAATTCTATTATATTTGCCTTTAAAGGATTTCATAATGCCTGTGCTCCTTTCACCTCCAGCCAGGGTCCAAGCCCTCTTCATTTCTACTGAGGCCTTAAGAGTGCTTTGAAACAGGTACCTCACACCTAGAGGTTGCAAATGGCAGCCCAGTATGGAAACCAGCCCAATTTATTCCTACTGGTCTGCATAATATTTTAAAGTTTTAAAATTAGTTCAACATTTAAAAATTGGGATATTTCACAATAAATATCTAGATTTCTGCCTTCGTCCAGTAAAAACAATAAAGCCTGGGAAAGACAGAGCCTTTGTTATTGTAGATCGCCACCTGCTGGTGCCAAGTGGTGGCTGCACCCTCTAAAGAGGTGTGGCTCCCTCTGCCACAGCCTTGCTCACCCTGAGCCACCCATCTAGATGACCATTTAGAGGCCAATTAGGCAGCTGAATCTGTGATCTCCATTCTACACTCTTCCTAAGTTTGGTCTACTCCCCACACGATTCTTCACTGACTTCTGTAAAACTTACGTGATGACATCACCGTCTTCAGTGGTTTCCATTACCCACAGAACAAGGTCTAAACTCCTTATTGTGGTAGACGATGGCCACCTTCTTCCTTTATTTCCAGCCCCATCACCTGCCTTTCTAACCCTTTACATACAGCTCTACTATGCTCCGCCCACATGTGGCTTCTGTCCACATGCCTTTAACAGGTTTATCTTTGTAGTAACTGCAACCTCTCTGCCTAAAGGCCCTTCTCCTCCTTCCTTAGTTCACTCCTAATCTGTCTTTAAGATGCAGCTTCCATGTCATCTTTGCCTGACAGCCTTCCTTGACTCCTTGCCAGGAGTTCCTATAGCACTCTCCTTATTCTCTTGTTGGCTAAAATGTGATCCTATAGCACTCTCCTTATTCTCCTGTTGGCTAAAGTGTGATCTAATAAGTAAATCTTTCCTCAATTAGATTGAGAGCTCTCCAGAGGCAAAGGTTAGTTCAAGTTCATATGCTGCACAGGCAACACAAGAAGGGTGTGTTGACTGGATAAATAAGAAATGTTTAAGTCTCAGAAGATGCTAGGTATTAGAAGGAACATTAGACTTGGAAGTCTAAATATTTGACTAGCTCCAGGTCTAAGATCTGTAACTTGTTAGCATGCAAATTTGAGTTAAGTCACTTCACCTCTTTGAATCTCAGCATCCTCATCTGTACAATGGGGATAATAATAGCACCCTCCTCTGGTTCTATAAAAATCAAAGGTATGTGACACACAACTCTTAGTAAACTATAAAGTGATAGAGGGGTCTACTGTACTTCTGAATTGATAAATATAATTCATTCTGAGTGATTTTTTAAAAAATGACCCATCTTCCCTTTACTCCTTGGTAACAACTTTAACATGGAGAGGTTTTGCTGGGGGGAGCAATTATAAGTTATATATAGTGGACCATAAGCTTGAGGGAGAGAATGTTAGAGCAGAAAAGGAGAATAAACTAATTTATAGAATCTAATCTAATCCAAACTTCTCACTTTCCAGATGAAGACAATGAAGATAAAGTGATTTAGAGTCAAGACTGGTGGTTAAGAGCCTGGTCTCACTAGTTAGATAGACTTGGCTTTTTGTTTGTTTGTTTTTGAGACAGAGTCTCGTTCTGTTGCCCAGGCTGGTGTGCAATGGCATGATCATGGCTCACTGCAACCTCCGCTTCCCAGGTTCAAGGGATTCTCATGCCTCAGCGTCCTGAGTAGTTGGGACTACTGGTGTGTGCCACCTCACCAGGCTAATTTTTGTATTTTTAGTAGAGATAGGGTTTCACCATGTTGGCCAGGCTGGTCTTGAACTCCTGACCTCAAGTGATCCACCCACCTTGACCTTCCAAAGTGCTGGGATTTCAGGTGTGAGCCACCATGCCCAGTCCACACTTGGTTTTAAACATGAGCTCCTCTAGTCTAATTCTGTGACTTGGGGCAAATTGTGTAATTTACCCCTAAGCTGCTAGCTCATGGAGGTGTGGGAAGAATGAAGTGAGCTAAGAGGTAGAAAGCCCTTAGCAGACTCTCTGCCCACACTCGATCAATAACTGTTCCTTCAGCTGGTACCCAAGACCTCAGAAGGAACGAAGGGCTGATAAAGGACAAGGCCCAGGTGTCCTGATTTCTATCCTGGTGCTCTTGGTTCCAGCGTCACTTCCCAGACTCCCCTAAAGATGAAGGCACCTCAGAGGGGACAGAAGGACGTTACCCAGAGCGGGTATTAACATAAAAACGGGGCTAGTCAGATCCAGATCCACATCCTAGACATTTTCCTCTTCCTCCTCTTTGTCAGACTTTTGCTCTTTATCATTAAGACTTTTCTTCTGATAGAAAACCTTGAAATAAAAAGAGGTTATATGTTTTATAATCTTTCAAATTATAGCGAACAACAAAAAAAGAAGGAATGGGATTGATGGTGATCAAAGACTGTCATATTTTAATTTTGAAAATGCAAATACAGAATCTGTGAATCTTGAATATGTATTACCTCAAGACTAATAACGCTACTGGAATTATAAAAATTTCATGTGGAGCTATTCAGTTGCCTCCATACTTCAGAGAACAATTGTATTAAAAGCAGTTCATGGCTGGGCGCAGTGGCTCATGGCTGTCATCCTAGCACTGAGCTCAGGAGTTCAAGACCAGCCTGGGCAACATGGTGAAATCCTTTCTCTATTAAAATTAAAAAAAAAAAAAATTAGCCGGGTGTGGTGGCATGCACCTGTAGCCCCAGCTGAGGCATGAGAATTGTTTGAACCTGGGAAGTGGAGGTTGCAGTGAGCCGAGATGGTGCCACTGCACTCCAGCCTTGGCGATAGAGTGACACTCCATCTCAAAAAAAAAAAACCACAAAAAACAAAAACAAAACAAAAGCCGTGTGTGTAGACCAGCTGAGTCATTATCTAAGCCCTGGTGCTCTTCTCAGGATTGTGAGCTGAGCTGATGACTTGATTCAATAAAGTGAGACCTTCTCCCAATTAAAAAGATCAGCACGACCCTCACTGAAGGAGAATGCAAGCAGAATAAAAGGAAGGAGCACAATGCCTGACATTCTTTTGCTGGCCTAGTGCTGGCTGGCTTTCCTTTGAAAGCACTTAAGCCAGTCCCTCCACCAGCTATTGGCAGGAACTGTAACAGAGCCCACTAGAACACAGCTCAGGAGGAAAGAGGGAATATCACATTCTTTGGGGAATCATACAAACATAGCAAGCTGAGAGTCTGGGCATGCACCTATGCACCTGAACAGGTATATAAATACATGTATGCATATGTGCCTTTGCATTTCATGTATGAATGTATACTTGTGTTCATACTTCTATGTGACTTTTAATGTGTGTCCACATGTATGGCGGTATGAGTGTGAGTGTACAGTTGTGCATCTGTATGCACTTGAGTTACAACCATAAAACATGTGTCTAGAATGTGACACTTGATCATTAATCCTCTTTTGTGTGTACGAGTATTAGTTATCCAATTGTGCAGTGTGGCCAAATGCACTGCTCATCTCCAGCACAGGACGGAGTTGGGCACTGTCAGTGAAAGCTCTGGGAATTATAAGAACTTTAAGGGCAGGGGCTGGGGAGCTTCCATCTGCCTGGAGTGGACTCATCCACGTGTATGACACGGCCCCTGGAGCCCGCGTGCCGCATTCAGTAAGAGGCGTGTTGTAGCCTGAGCAACAAGCTGTGTCGCTGGCCAGAATCACACAGAGCAGCAGCACCACAGTGTGGACTGGCTCCACACAGTCTCTCATGGTCCTGAGGATGTGCCATCAAAGAGAAAGGGGCTGGGGGACAGATAAGGACAGAAGGATCCATCCATCACCACAGACACCCAGGCTTATCTCCTCAGAACATGAGCTCTTCTGTTCTTCTAGAACCGGCCCCTTCCCTACCATTACTTTCTCCCCCATGTCCCTCTCCCTTCAGAAAGCCCCAGCATGCAGCAGGGACTGTGAGGATCTGAATGTTCAAGGCAATCTCTGCTATAAGAAATCTTAGTTATTGAGCCAGGTGTTTATTATTTTATTTATTTTTTAAATATGTTGGGATGTGTTAGGACTAATGCTGGGGCCTGTTGGGTGACACCAAACCGCCCCCACCCTCATATTTAGGCCTTCGTGCTTTCTGCTTAGGGAAGCTGCTGCTACAAGGCCTGGGGTCCCCATATTCCTATGTGTCCTGGGATCAGCTCACATTTTACTTCCCTTCTTCAGCTTTCTCTGTTCCTCCCCCAACCTGTGCTGTATGAACTGCTCCCTGGAGCACATTGTGTCTGCTTCTCTTAGGAGCTTATCACATGGTTTCTTAGCTATTGACTTACATATTCCTGGAGCACAGTCTAGCTCCTGCCCTCACAGACCTGCAATCCACTAGATAGGATCTTTTACCCAACGTCCCAGGCAGCACAGGTGGGCGGCAGCTCCTACCTGTACAGGAAAGGTGCGACCGTGGCAGTGTTGGGATGGTTGTATTGCTGCTGGGGCTGAGGTAGCTGAACACTGACGGTATTGCTTCCTGTGGTCTGGGTGGTCCCGATGGACCCACTGACGGTCTGGCTGCTGATGCTGTGGTTCAGGGTGGTCCCTCCTGGGCCTTTTCCTTCTGAGGACGCCAGGCTGGAAGAGGAACTGGAGTGTCTGCCGTCCAGCTGGGGCTTCTGCTGGGGGAGCCCTGAACTCGGCTTCCCACTCCGGCTCCGCTCCCCTTCCTTGGAAGGCGCTGGGGCACTTGGGGATTTCCCAGGCATGCTCTTCATTCCTGGTTTTGGTATTCCACTGTGGGAAGGGGCCATGGGCTCCTTCTTGGCACTGTTGAGCTTCCCCCCTTTGGGGATGAAGCTGGCGATCTTGGAGGACTTTTTTGGCATCTCGGGCAAGGCTGCTCCACTGGGGTCTTCTTTTGGCTCCTCCTTAAGGTCCAGCCTCTCCGTCACAGAGGCTCTCTTGGCAAGGTCCTTGCTTTTCTCCTTATCCTTCTCCCGCTGTTGTTTCTCCTTCTCTTTCTCATTGCCTTTCGGAGAACTCTTCTTGTTGGTCAGCGCCCGGCTAAAAGTCCTCTGGGCAATGCCCTTGAGTGCAATCTTAGGGCTGCTTGAAGCAGGGCCCACGGTGGTGAGCATGCGACTGGCGGCCTCCAGCTCCTCGCTCTCTTCGAAGCTGGGCAGAGTCTCCAGCCGCTCACAGCTTGTGTCCCGGGACCCCGGGCCCTCACCTGCCTTTGAGCCCCCTTTACTGTTGAAAAGTTTCAGCTTTTCCAGCATGGACTTCTGATTGTTGGAGGCTGGCTTCATGGCTTCAGGTGTGGGCCTGGGAGCCTCAGGCCCAGGAGACTTGACTGAGAGCATGGATACCGTGGCACTGTGCTTCACGCTGAGGGATTTGCTGCGCCAAGGCTTGGTGGCTGCACCGGGCTGCGGGATGGCCGAGGAGGTGCTATAATTCGTAGGGGTGGAGCTGCTGCCGCTCTCCAAAGAAGCAGGTGCATTGTCACTCATTCCGGGGTGGGAGGAGGCTGAGCTTGCCAAAGGCTCTGCAGAGACAGAAGAGAGGAGGCCTGAGTCACACCGGTTGACCTGCACTGAAGATCAGGGAGGGTCAGCCATGGCCACACAACCAATCACTCCCAACCCAAATGCTGTATAGCTCCATTGCCCACTTTGTGGATTATCTGTGGTTAGGTTTTAATTCCTGGCTTGACTTCCTCCTGCTTTCCGTATGGCACAGTTCACATCCCCCCGACCCCACCACATTTTGGTGGCATGTGCCACGCAAATGTATGAGGGTCTTAACAAATCTTAACAGATACCAGCACCATTAATATAGCCAGTGCAGGAAGGAGTAGGAAATACCTACCGTTTTCAATTATTCATCCCATAGTCTGTTTCCCAATTATGGGAAAGAATCAAGAATTATCCAACTTTAAGCAAACAATGTATCAGAGACACTAAAATACAACAATTACAAAAACAGAAAAGGAGGAGAAATCATGTAGAATCTTTAAAAAAGAATAATTACACACAAAAGTTGTTAATGCCTATTAAAGCATGTAAGTTTTTCCTATGCTGGCACTTTTAAAAAGCTGCAAATGGCTGGGTGCACTGGCTCACACCTGTAATCCCAATACTTTGGAAGGCCAAGGCGGGCGGATTACCTGAGGTCAGGAATTCAAGACCAGCCTGGTCAACATGGTGAAACCCAATCTCTTCTAAAAATACAAAAATCAGCTGGGCGTGGTAGAGCATGCCCGTAATCCCAGCTACTCGGGAGGCTGAGGCAAGAGAAGTGCTTGAACCTGGGAGGCAGAGCTTGCAGTGAGCTAAGATCACGCCACAGCACTCCAGCCTGGGCAAAAAGAATGAGACTCTGTCTCAAAACAAAAAAAACAAAAACAAAAAACAAAACAAAAAAAAAAACAACAAAAAAAGTTGCAAACGTGGTTCAGGTTTGACTTAAAAACAAAAAAACTTTTTTTTTTTCTCTCTCTCTAGAGTGTAATCTACGCACATGGCTCCACTGTGGGCAAGAAAATACACAGGTTATCTGAAAGTCGAGGCTTCCCCTTGGCTCTCAGTGAGTATTTCCCTGGCCAGACTCTTTTCTCAGAAAAGCCTCAAAATATTTCCAAACTGGAGCCAGAATCGTTCTAGTGAGGGCAGGCTCCAAACTAACGGCTAGTCACCAAGGTGGCCAATGTGACAGAAATGGAAACTGCAGCACCCTTCTTCCATCAGTGCCCGGGATGATGCAGCCTCTCTCTCAAGGAAGGACAGCTGTTGGAGAGAAAGTGCCAGGCAAGGCACGTCTCTACTGGGCCCTGTGCCCACACCCACCCATACCCCATGCCCAGTGTGCACAGCAGACAGGACACACCCCTTCAGCCCCCCCAAAAGCACCTCTGCATCTGCAAAGTCACAATGACATGACTTACCTAGCAGCAGCCACTTTCTCCTGCAATGATTCCCTAGGAAAAATCCTCCAACCGGAGAGGCTGCCCTTCCAATTGTCACAAGTGTTTTCGGTTAAACTGCTCATGTTTCTAATTAACTTTTGTCATCCACAACTATTCCAGTGCCCAGAAGCCTGGCGGGATTAACGGCTGCTTCTTCTGCCTTTTTTTTTTTTTTTTTCAATACCTATGTTCCACTGCCTTCTAGCAACAGAGTAAACTGTATATAGAGCGGCTTATTATGATTTAAAAGTCAACGGCTGCTAAAGCCGAGTGAAGGCAGCCCCTGTGTGGGGCGTGAGCACCGTGCTGTGAGAGCTCACAGCAGAGGAACTGCCTCCTTTCACTCTCAGCTGCTCGGGGAAGCCACAGCTCCAGGGTGATCCAAAGCAGACCTCCCAATGTTTTAAAACACATATATCTTCCTGACTTACTGGGGATTTGGGTTTGGAGGGAGGGTGCCTCACAATCCTCCCTAACAAAACTCAAGGGGTGTTGTTGGATCTTTTCCTGGGGAGAGCCAGAGACTGGCTTGGAATCAGGCTCAGAGAACCCACCCACACTGCCGGCCTGTTAGAAGGTTGCTACGGGCTTGACGCTGCCCATCGGTGGCCTGCTCGGTGTCAGGAGGCTCAGTGCTCAGCACATTGTGAAAAGGGGTTCCTGTGCCTATTTTAAGAGTGAGGAAACTGAGACTTAGGTAGGGCTAAAGAATAATTCTAAATTACACAGCCAGAAATGCAAAGATCTGGGATTTGAACTCAGGTCTCCTGACATGGTATCATACCTACCTCCTTTGATGAAAAATACACGTAAACAGCCACTTAAACATCAAGAGCACTTTTAGGAACTGCCCTTTCTACTAGCTTATGTATGTTCATGACATCCATGGTGGGGTACAAACCAACCCTGCCATTTGAAAGAAAGCAGCCTACATCACAGAGGATGGCTCTCTGGCTGAAATAATAGTGAATCCACCAATCCTGAGTACCACTCCTCCTAGGAAAACTGTCTTTCCCTTCACCTGAACTCAGATCTGGGGCAGATGTAAAGTTTTCATTCATTCATCCAATATATTCATTCATATCTATCTATTCATTCAATGAGCTCCTAATATGTGTCAGATACTGTTTTAGGTACTTGGGATCCGTCTATGAAAAACCAGAAATCTCTGCCTTTATAGAGTTCACATTTTAGCAAGAAGGAGCAGGTAATAAATTTAATTAAATAAACTATATTATTTGTTAAAAATTAGTGCTAAAGAAAAGGATGGGGGATTTAGGGGCAGGTTGTAACACTGTCCTTATAGGAACTACAAGATCATGTTCAAAGGTATGTTCCTCTTTCCTAAAGAAGTTTTAGGCATAGTCCCCATCTGTGTCTGGATCAATGTGATCTTGCTGCTTGGAACTACTCTGAGGCTTGTTCAGAAATGGATGTCTCTACTATCATTTCTATTTTTTTTTTTAACACTAACAATCACAGCTAGAAATCAACCAACTACGTAGCTAATAACTGACCAAGAAGAAAACAGATACTTGGCTTGTCTTGGTGAAACAGCCATCTGAGACCCTCAGGCCTGGTTTATATCACAAGGCATTTTCCCCTACTGTGTGCTTCACTAGGATTCTGTCCATACCTCTTCCATAGGATGATTTTGGAGGACCAGCTACTTTATACAACGCTCTGGGAACACAGAGTTGAATAAAGCTCCTGCCCTCTAGGAACTCACTGTCTCAGGGTGCAATGGACTTCAAAACAAACCACGAAAACAGTAGAAAAAGTGGTAGAGGGCTCTATGAGGTGCTATGAGAAGCGGAGAATTAGTAGCCTCTAGTAATTCTCCCTGAAGAGTTTGAGAAAACTTCCTGGAGAAGTGATCCTTGTGTTATTACATGGTGATTCTGCTAAAGGTCTGTTATTCCTCTGGTCTGGGATTTCCTCCAGGACAGAGACTCCCCTCCCTGACTCATCTTTGTGTCCTAAAACCTGCTGGAGCATAAAGATACTTAGCAACTGGCTTCTGAATTGCTGGTTGATAATTTTGACATTTGCAAGTCATATTTAAGGCCACAGAGATGTAGGATATGTGATGAGTCTTTAGGGTTTTATTAAAACTCTTCAGCCTACACTCAGGAAAAAATTCAGATTAAAACTCAGAGAATCAGAATTTCTATGTGGTATTGAATCTGGGCTCCTCTGGTTATTAAGCCATGGGGCATTTCAAGGCTACTCATTACAACTACAAAAGGTAGCACCTGGGTATGATTCTGAATTTGGTTTCTAGAGCAGAAGTCTTGAGTGGGGCTAGAAAGGGGGCATTAGGGCATCTGAGGACCAGGTCATCAATATTCTATACTCATGTCACAGTCAGAAGTCCCCTATGTCATGAAGGGTATGTCAAGTCATGAGTGGTCTTGTACAAAGTAACTTGATACATTTCTATCATTCCTAGGATATCACACCAGTGATCTCAGAGCTTGGCTAAGTGGCTGTTTGGGGCCTGTTCCTCTCTCTGTCCATTTTTCTTTTCTTTCTTTCTTTTTTGTTTTTTGAGATGGAATCTCACTCTGTCACCCAGGCTGGAGTGCAGCGGCTTGATCTCGGCTCACTGCAACCTCCACTTCCCGGGCTCAAGTGATTCTCCAGCTTCAGCCTTACAGACGAGTGCCACCAACACCTGGCTAATTTGTGTGTGTGTGTGTGTGTGTGTGTGTGTGTGTGTGTGTGTGTGTAGAGACGGAGTTTCACCATGTTGCCCAAGCTGGTCTCGGACTCCTGAGCTCAAGAGATCTACCCACCTCAGCCTCCCAAAGTGTTGGGATTACAGGTGTGAGCCACCGCACCTGGCCTTCTTTGTCCATTTCTAATCCTGGGGTCCTATGACTCCTACCATGAAGCTTTCCTCAACAGGATTCTCAGACAGTAAGCTAAACAAAGAGGAGGTGCGGGTGGATAGGCTGGACCTCGAACTTTGTCCCCAACTCATGGCATGATCCTAGATATGCCATTTTGCCTCTCTTGGCTTCAGTTGCCCCATTTGTTAGAAAGAGGATGAGCTATTTCTCTAGTGTTCTTTTAGCCTTGTTTCTATTCAAATCTGGGCAAGCCTCTGAGAGGCCCTCTGCAGCTGGGTGATTTCCAATCTTGATGGAGAAAACTGGCTGGGTCAAGGTATGGTCAACATTAGATGAGCTGCTTGTGAATTCAGAAATGCTAGTATCCTATGAAAACCAGTTTGGGGGAAGGGGGTGGGATGAGTTCTTCAAAATGAAAAGCACTTATTTCCCTGATAACTAACAACTTTTGTTATTTTCCTCAAATATCTGAACCTTTGTTCAAAAAGAACCTAAGGGGGAAAAAGAAAAGCATAAAAGAATGTTTTGAACATCTGTATCCCCCAAATGATGACATGTGGGCCACTGAAGTGGATGAGATTGTTTTGGATGGCACATGAGTATTTTTATATTTTAAAAGTCATATTTTCATTGCTTATTAGATGTATTAGAAAATCATAACTAGCCATATATAAATTAACAGTTTCATGGATATTAAATATAGATTTAAAATTTGAGCTCGTTCAA